CTGTGTTGTGTGTAAATCAACACAAGTTACCTTTAATTAAGCCACCTTTTTAAGGAATCTCAGACAATCAAGTACTGAAACAATGATTTAAACTTTACTGCATGTAGCGACCATCATGGCTATTACCAGATTAATGGTGGAACCTGGCCACCATGCCACCAACAGCAGTTTATCTCTGAAAGTATCCAGGCTTCAATCATTATGCAAAGTTGTTCTCCGAAGTTATGGTGTTCGGTTCTTATATAGATTTTTGTCCTTCAGGTTATTAATCATGATTCTTTAAGTTCTTTCATCAAATATAATTACTGCAAGTCTGCAGTTTGCCTTATCAGAAGTAGCTTCTTTGTTCCTTGTTACATTTGACCTTAACTGTTTGTTCAAAGACACAGCTTTCCCCGATTAACTCCTTAAAATCTTTTTCAGGGGAATCAGGCGTCCTTTGTTGATCCAGTTTGTCAAGCAGGCATCAATGCATCAATCCTTTTGCCACATATGAATAATTGCTTTCAATTCCTGTACAGGTTTGTCCTTGTCCTTTAAAAGTTTACTCCAGACAGAGTTATTGTTGTTTCCGTGTATAACAGTTTATATTTTGTTGATTCTTTCAATCCATGAACAAATATTAAAGTTCTGAAGCCTATAATATCAAATGTATTTGCATACTTATTTTCAGCAACCACCAAGGTTACCCAGGCCTCACTGCATTTCTCTCTTTCCCAATCTACTGCCATTCAGATAATTATCTACCTTCCTGTATTAGCTATCAAGTGGAAAACCTCACATTTATCCACATTATACTTGAACTGTCATGTACTTGCCCATTCACTCAACTTGTCCATAAGACTAAGGAGAAGTAGACTATTCAGCCCATCAAGTCTGCTCTGCCATCCGTCACCAGATCTGTCCAATCTAATAATCCTCAACTCCACTTTCCTGCCTTTTCCCCAAAGAATGAGAAATAAGGGCAAGAGCAAAACATTGCATTAACATGTTTGAAGACTAATGGTAAAAAGAAAGTTAAGTGCATTCAGTTAATTTTAATTGCGTAAATTTTGGTCTAACGTCACAAGATCCTCAAATAAAAGCAAGACAATGCAGATACTGCAATCTGAAAAATACAGAAAATGCCCAAGAAACTCAGCAGGCTTGATAGCATCTGTGGAGAGAGAAACAGAGTTAACGTTTGAGTTTGATCTGACTCTTAAGAACTTGAGTTTCAGCTGCTCTGAAAACATCATACTGGACTTGAAATGTTAACTCTCTTTCTCTCTCCACTGATGGTGCCAGACCCGCTGAGTTTCTCCAGCTTTCTCAGTGTTTATTTCAGATTTCCAGCATCCACAGTATTTTGCTTTTAATACATTGCAAATAATCATTTTAACAATATTAAGCTGATTAGCAGTGCGGCAAATGTGTTTGAAACTCACCAGAAACAGCCATTGTGTCACTAACCCAAGCAATTGAAAAAATCCAGTCTTTGTGGCCATCCTAGAAAAAGAGCATTTGTCAATTAGTTCCAGTTAAGAAAACAAATCTACTTCAAAGTTTCAGACAGCAATGAAACTATAAGAAAATCAAACCCAAACGTTCCATTGTTTGCTTAAACTTGAGGTATGAAGCTTATAATCTAGTCCTTTGAATTTAAGCCTCAACTAATAACTTTACCTTAACAAATGGACTCCTGCAGTTTACTTGTTAAACTTACATCTCCCACACAAACAGGATCCAGAGTTGGCAGTCGATAAATGGCAATGCTGTTTGGGTTGTCTCCTCCAGTTGCTAACAATGTACGAGAAGGGTTCAGTTCAATGGCATGGATACCACAACCTTGCTGATCCATGACAACATTGGGCTGTTCTCGATCCTTCAACATGGGAATTTTTGTTATCTGACCAGTCATAATATCCATCACCAACAGCTAGAAAAACAACAGGAGAAATTACAGTGTCACCCTACATTTTAACTCAGCTAAGGGTCTTTAATTTTCTGAAACAGTTGTATGCAAAATAAGCTGATCATCTTATCACTGCTCGTCAATTTCGTACTAATTACAAAAGTTGAGTAAAAATGGGTGGAACAGTAATTTTGGCTGACAACTTTTAATACACAAATGTTGAAAAATTGACATTTACAGTGTGAAGTACACTGTGCATAACAAAATAATCCAAAAAAGTAATAGAAAAAAAATCAGTTCAATAGCTCCCTGACCTGCTAACAAGATGATTAAGTGTAACCAACAAATAAGTAGTAAACAATGCCAACAATATATGTAGTCTCTGTGCTGGCTGTGGCACTACTTACCTTTTGGGGTCTGCCTTTTCTACTTGCTTCTACTTTCTTCATAACATCATTGACTTCATTGAAAGGCAACTTGAGATAGACATTTGTGTGAAGGCATGATGAACAACCTCAGAAGACCAAGGATGAACAGAGAAAGGCAAGATAGAAGGGGTATTTTTGCTTAAGAACTGCAGATGATCTCAGTTTTGATGCTGCAAATGTACCAAGTTACCTAATCTTAACTTGGCAGGATGCCATTATTACACGTAATAAAGCACAGAAAGGTGTAATTTGGCCATGTAGCCTCATGATGGTGTTTACGTTCCACACAGCCTTCTCCCATCCCTCTTCGTCTAACGCTATGACAATATCCTTCTATTCCTTTCATCCTAATGTCCCTTAAATACATTTAGTTAACTCAAATACAACTGGACAGAGAGTTCTGCATTTTAACCACTCTTGAGACAAAGAGGGTTCTTTTTTCAGTTTTCTATTGGATTTATTAATTTTTGTGTTATATTTATGGCCTCTATTCTGATCATAACTGGAAACATCTTATCTACATCAACACTGCCAACCCCTTCTTCAAAGATCTTCATCAGGTTATTCCTCAGTCTTTACTCTTTGAGATAAGAACAATTCCAACAGACCAAGAGGCCCACCATAATCAACCTCCTGGATTTAAAAATAATTTTAAAAAGTAGAAAAATACCATTACATGAAGGTAGGAATTGAGCTGATCTATTTGTCATCTCAACTCTGACTCAATTTCTGCTGGCCACTCCTGTGCAATGACAACACCAGTTACTGCCAATACCAGGCACACTCAATAGGATGGGAGAGAGGTAGAGATCGCTGTTCACAAAGTTTAGTGAACAATCATCTCCACCTCTCTCCCAGCTCATTAAGTGCACCTGGTCTTGGTAGAAACTGCTGTCAAGTGTATTGCACAGCATATTTCATCTTGACGCATTTGCTGCTTGGGTAATTGAACCTCATGCTCTTCCGCTCGTCCTCCTATACTCCTGAACCCTCATACCATGATCAGCCATCAGTGGTAACTACAAGCCACAACTACTGAAATTATGTATTGGTAACATCATTCACAAACATATGCCAATGGGGTGTTTCAGATTTTGAATTTTCTATTTTTATTATTAATCAATCAATCACTGGGAGGTGATGGCCTAGTGGTATTATCGCTGGACTGTTAATCCAGAGACCCAGATAATGTTCTGGACACCCAGATTCGAATCCCACCAGGGCAGATGGTGGAACTTGAATTCAATAAATATCTAGAATTAAGAATCTGATGATACCCATGAATCCATTGTCAATTGTCAGGGAAAAACCCATCTGGTTCACGAATGTCCTTTAGGGAAGGAAACTGCCATCCTTACCTGGTCTGGCCTACATGTGACTCCAGACCCACAGCAATGTGGGTGACTCTAAACTGCCCTCTGGGCAATTAGGGATGGGCAGTAAATGCTGCCTGGCCAGCGACGCCCTCATCCTGTGAATGAATAAAAAGTGGACACCACAGAGATATTTTGGGTTGAGCAGGGAAGAACAGAGATTATAGCGACTTGAAAATCAATTCTGTTCTTTAATTTTCATTGTACACCTTTGCTTTTAGTTTTAAAATACTGGTAACATGGTTGACTGACAACTTGGACTGGCTGATGTGCCACAGGAAGTGGGAGCAGAACCCAGAGAAATTTTATGTAGGGAGAATAATGGTGCTCTTGTCCCAAGGGAGCCTATAGGTGGCCAAACTGATGTTTATGGGGCCCTATTCTCTCCCTCGTTACACTTTTGTCCTTAATGTATTTATAAAATCCCTTTCTTCTCCTTGACCCTATTTGCCAGGGCTATCTCATGTCCACTTTTTGCCCTCCTGATTTCCCTCTCAAGTATACTCCTACTGCCTTTGTACTCAAAGGATTCATTCAATCTCTGCTGCCGATACCTGACATATGCTTCCTTCTTTTTCTTGACCCAAACCCCAATTTCTCTAGTCATGCAGCATTCCCTACACCTACCAGCCTTGCCCTTCAACCTAACAGGTACATACGATCTGTGAACTAACGTTAGCTCAATTTTGAAAGCTTCCCACATTCCAGCCATCCCTTCACTTGCAAATATCCAGTCCCAATCAACTTTTGAATGTTCTTGCCTAATACCGTCAAAATTGGCCTTCCTCCAATTTAGAACTTTTAGCTTTTAGATACAGTCTATCCTTTTCCATCATTTTTTTAAAACTAATAGAACTATGGTTACTGGCCCCACTGATACCTCAGCCCTGCCTTATTTCTCAAGAGTAGGTCAAGTTTTCCACCTTCCCTAGTACGTACATCCACATACTGAATCAGAAAACTTTCCTGTACACATTTAAATTCCTCTCCATCCAAGCTTTTAACACTATGGCAGTCCCAGTCTGTATTTGGGAAGTTAAAAACCCCTACCATAACCACCCTATTATTCTTAGAGATAACAGATTTCCTTACAAATTTATTTCTCAATTTCCCGCTCACTACTGGAGGGTCTATAGTACAATCCCAATCAGGTGATCATCCCTTTCTTATTTCTCAGTTCCACCCAAATAACTTTCTTGGACATATTGCCAGGAATATCCTCCTTAAGTACAGCCGTAATGTTATTCCGAATCAAAAAAGTCACTCCCCCTCCTCTCTTGACCCCTTTCGATCCTTCATATAGTATCTCTACCCTGGAACGTTAAGCTGCCACTCCTGTCCATCCTGAGCCACGTCTCTGTAATTGCTACGATTTCCCAGTCCCATGTTCCCAACCGTGCCCTGAGTTCGTCTGCCTTTCCTGTTAGGCTTCCTGCATTGAAATAACTGCAGTCTAACTTATCAGTTCCATCTCGTTCTCTGCTTTGTTCGAGCCTGCCCTGACTGTTTGATTTGCTCATTTCCCCAACTGTACCAGTCAGACTGAACTCTTACCTCACTATCTTCCTGGGTCCCACCCCACCCCATTTCCAGTTTAAATCCTCCCGACCAGCTCTAGCAAATCTCCCCACCAGTATATTAGTCCCCTTCCAAATCAGGTGCAATCTATCCTTCTTATACTGGACACTTCTACCCCAGAAGAGATTCCAATGACCCAAAAATGTGAATCCTTCTCCCCTGCACCAGCTCATCAGCCATGCATTCATCTGCTCCATCCTCCAATTCCTACCCTCACCAGCTCGTGGCACTGGGAGTAATGCTACCCTCAAGGACCTCCTTTTTAAATTCCTGCCTAACTTCCTACGTTCTTTCTTCAGAATCTCAACCTTTTCTCATCCTATGTCGTTAGTTCCAATGTGTACAATGACCTCCTGCTGATCCCTCTCCCCTTTCAGAATATTCTGCGCCTTCTCAGAGATATCCTTAATCCTGGCACTGGGGGGGGGGGGCAATACAGCTTTCTGGTATGGTATACTACCTCAAAAAGCAATAAGTAGACCGGAGTTCCCTGGATGACATAATAAAATAAATCAAGCTAATAAAGGAAGCAAAATTGTGTTTGACAAGTATCAAGAAAAAATACAACCAAGGAACAAGCTGAATATAGAAGGTTCAGAACAAAGAAGGAAAAAGAAATAATAGAAGTGAGGAGGAATGAGGAAAAAAGGAATGTCATGTAATATACGAAGAGATCCTAAAAGTCTTCATTAGGGGACGGAAGAGGAGTGTATCAGGGAAGACAGTGGAGCAGCCATGGCAGGAGTTTCTGGGGGTCATTTGGGAGATACAAGGAAGAAGAAACATACTAAGGGGAGGAGGAGGCAACCATGACTGACAAAGGAAGTCAACGACAGCTTAAAAGCATAAGATGTGGTGAAGATTAGTGGCAAGCCAGAAGATTGGGAAGCCTTTAAAAACCAGCAGAGGACAACTGAAAAGACAAGGTGTGTGTGTGTGTGTGTGTGTGTGTGTGTGTGTGTGTGTGTGTGTGTGTCGCGGCGGAGTTGGCTGGCTAGTAATTTAAAAGATGATTGCAAGAGCTTCTTTAGAAATAAGAAAGGTAAGGCAGTAAAACATGCACATTGGAAAATGAGCCTACAGTAGTAGCAATAGGGAACAAAGAAATGGTGCAAGGATTGAATAAGTACTCTACATCAGTCTTCATGGTGGAACACATCAGTAATATGTCAGAACTTGGAGAGTCAGGGTCAGAGGTGAGTGTAGTAGCCAGCATTAAAGAGATGTATGGGTAGCTGAAGGGTCTGAAGCTGAGTAAATCACCTGGACTGGATGCTTTATGTACGGGATAGCTGAGGAGATTGTGCAGGCCTTGGTGATAATCTTACGCAAATCATCGGAGTCAGGATGGGTCCCACAGGACTGACAAATGGTGAATGTACCAGCCGTTAAACAAGGGAAGGAGGCAGATGAGAAATTATAGGCCAGTTAGACGGACCTCAATCATTGGTAGGATTTTACAGTACATTATTTAGCATAAGTTTGCAAAGTGCTTGGAGGTACATGGTAAAATATGGTTGTGTCAGCATGGCTTTGTGAAAGGGAGATCATGTCTGACACCTCTGTTAGAATTGTTTGAGGGGGGAACAAGCAAGTTAGACAAAGAAGGGCTAGTGCGTGTGAATGATTTGGATTTCCAGGAGGT